GATTAACATCAGATAATAAGTAACATCAAGGTGTGGCAAGCAATGAGGTGGCTGGCTGGCCCTAAGAGAAGTGGGTAGGCCTACATTTAGACTAGCCCCAGGACACCCACTTGTTACAGTAACCATAGCTTCAGAGCCCTGAAATGTGAAAAAAATCTTCACCTAGGGGAGGATGAGTGACACTGCAGATTCACTGGGTGCATCTACAAGAGATGCTTTACTGCAAAGTAGCATAGTTTACTGTGCTGTAAGCATGTGCATCTACATGTGCACATGCTTACTACATAGTAAACCTTGCTAATCAAGAGGAATTTGCTCCCTGCAAATGCAATAGAAAGTTTACTCACTAGCACTTACTGCACAGTAGTGCTTGTATATACACCTGACCAGGAGCAAATCTGCTACCCGTCAGCCGGCCACAAGCTGGGAGATTGCTTCCTGCCCCTGGAAGTTGCTTACTGCTGGGCCGGGCTCCACCACTGGACCCCGGGTGCGGACTATGTTCTCTTGCCTTGGCAGCAGGGAGCTCCAAGCTCCTCACTCCGAGGTCGTGATCAGGGGGTGGGGGGCTGGAAGATCCTTATCTCCTGGCCCCTTCTTCACCATCATGATCGGGGAGTGTGGGGCTCGGAGAGCCTTATCTCCCAGCACTGGCCTCATTGTCATGCAGCTCGTGCTAAGAGGTCCCTGCTGGCAGGGGGTGAGGAGCCTGTTTCCTGCTTAGCTCTGTGGGTGTGGAGCTGGAAGCTCCAGCCCTGGCCAGGAGACAACTGTCTCCTAGCCTGGTTCTCCCTGCCAGCCCCTGGGCTAGCATCCAGGCAGAGCCTAGACCTTCTCTTGGTGGTATTAGGGGCCCATTGCAGGGCCCCAAGAAGTGAAAGTAGTTTGCTGCCATTAGCAGCAAATCTGCTCCGGCTTCCCTCCACGTGTAGCCACCTGCCCAGGAGCATTTACTCATGAATAGTTTACTCATGACTAAACTTATCCTGGATCTGTTGCATGTGTAAACACACCCACTGGCATCAAAAGATGTTGATTTTTTTCTGTATTGCAGTCAGGACTTTACCCAATATATTTAGGCAGTCTTATACATAATAAAAATATTATCTTAACTGTACAAAATATTTTTCAACCTAAACCAACCTGTGAAGCTTCATGGTATTTTGTCAGTTCTTTCTATTCATGGAAGCAGTGCTGTTGATGCTCACATTTTACTCCTGAATATAACTTGTGACTTAAGTATGTTCCATGATTGCATATCTAATGTTGATTTTTTTTGTTTCTTTGTTTCTGTTTAGAGACAGGACAGAAATGTGGTCGTCCACCAGTTATTGCTAATGGTGATATAACTACTTTTTCAAAAAAACAATATGCTTCAGGATCCTCTGTAGAGTACAAATGCCAGCATTTTTATACACTGCAAGGGAAAAATACAATTTTTTGCATCAATGGAGACTGGACCAAACCACCATTTTGTATGGGTAAGAATTCTTTCTACAAAAGAAACTTTTTTGACATATCTATATCTAAATATATCTGATGGAAAAACAAAACCACTTCACATTTCAGATGCCAGTTCTGCTGTTATGTTGTTCATAATATTGCTAAAAAAAGTTAACTCCTAGAGATTTGACCATTTGTGTTATTTTATGAGGTAAAAAAATTAAGATTCAAAAAGTAAATAGATAGAAATGGAGTTATCTTATTTAAAAGGAAGAATTTTTTTGGAAGGAATATCCAATCTCACATTTAATATAACATCTCAAATTAAGTTTAGAAATCATGTAGGAATCAAATTGAGATCTAACAGGAGTGGGTGCCACCCTACCCACAAGTGCTGGGTCCAGCCTGACTGTCTTGCTACTGCAAAGCAACAGCATTGTCTGATTGCCCTCCTACCTGGTGCACCAGACCACTCTGCCTTCCCACTGGCCTCTGGCCCAAGACATTTGATCAACTGGCTGAGAAAGGCCTACAGAATGCAGCACTGTCCCAGCCAAACTGGGACGTATGGTCACCCTAAATATGATAGAATTCCAGATCCTGAGACAGGGAAAGCATGAGATCAGCCCAATTTGGATGCAAAACAGCAGATTTCATCTGACTCAAGGAGTTAATAGAAATGGTGCCTGTTAGACCCTGAATCCATGTGGCACCCAACAACTAGGGATAGGATGATCCAGTTGCTCATGGAGCCTGTTACTAATTAGCCAGAGCAAGCAGGGAGCAAACACAAGCACACATTGCAGTCTATGAACACAGGGAGCAGCCACAAACAATAGTTCTTTTCACATCTATACACTTCAGGTTAGGTTCATTAACATTCACTACACCTTTGTCCCTCCTCGGGTTCCACCCATTTCTCCTCCTATCTCAAGCTCTGCCTCTGTTTACTGTTTACTTCATTAGCATGGAATTGCCTATGCATTTCCTTCATTTACGTGTCTCTCCACTAAGAGCACATGCATAAGGCCATGAACTTGGGTACTCTCAGTTAATCACTAGTTTTTCTGGTTTCTTGCTGACTCCTTCTTCATCTCCAAGGGCTTGCTTCTGCTTTATCTCCTGACAATAGCTGGTGGGCTACGTCTTGTTCTCCTTACGCAATGAGCTCTAACACTATGACTTTGCATAGAAAACTGCTTGCCTAAGCATTTGTAAGGTTATTTTTAAAGCATTCTGCCTTGTGACCAGCAGCTCTGCTGAAACACAGAATAAAGACCTTTATTCAGCTGCAGATCCAGTGCTGCCCAAAAATCCACATTATTGTCACCCTAACAGTGCCATGGGAAGACAGACTTAAGAATAAAGTCCGGAGGACTGGGAGCTTCTAATGGGCACAGTATTGGAAGCTCAAAAATAAAGTGGCTCAATATGGTAGACAAGGTTATTTGAGTAAATCAACTTGAATAGTTGAAAAAATTTCTTCTTTTCAAGCTTTCGGGTACAAACACCCTTCTTCAGGGACAGGCTTCCAACATGGTGGAAGCACAAGAAGAGCGGCAAGAGATCAATGTGGTTGCACAGGGAGCTTCTATGATGGCTCAAATGCAAAAGGAAAGCATATAGGCAATGGAAGAATGGCCAGGTCACCAAGGAAGCATACCAGGAAATAGTAAGAACCTTCAGGGACAAAATCAGGAAAGCAAAGATAAAGAAGAACAAGCTGGATGTAGTGAGGGAGGTTAAAGACAACAAGAAAAGGTTCTATAAACATGCTGTCCAGAAAAGAGGGACCAGGGAAGCTGTGGGTCCAGAATTAACTTGGCAGGAAGAACTCTTAAAATAAGATGCAAAGGTGAAACTCCTCAACAGCTACTTTGCCTCAGTCTTCACAAAACAATTAAACTCTAACTAGGTATCTAATAATATTTGGATAAGGAATGGGGCAACCTGAGGAATGAGATAACAAAAGAGGTGGTTGGAGATCTTTTGATGCCTCTGAATGAATTCAGATCAGTAGGACCAGATAAACTTCATCCCAGAGTACTGAAGGAACTGGCAGAGGAGATCTTGGAGCCCTTGGCAATGATCATCATGAAGTTGTGGGAGACAGGTCACGTGCCAAAGGACTGGAAAAGGTCCAGTGTAGTGCCCCACTTTAAAAAAGGCAAAAAAAAAGGAAGACCAGGGGAGCTATAGACTGGTTAGCCTCACTTCAATACCCAAGAAGTTACTGGAGCATATCCTAAGGAAGGTAATTTGCAAGCATCTGGAGAATGAAAAGCTCATCAAAAGCAGCCAGGATGGATTTACTAAGAATAAAGTTTGTCAAACAAAGTAACAATTTGGGTGGATGAAGGGAATGCTGTGGATATAGTGTATCTGGACTTCAGCAAGGCTTTTGAGAAGGTTCCACATGACCTTCTTATAAACAAATTGGAGAATTGTGGCTAGTCAAAACGATTAAAAAAGGGACAGAAAACTGGCTCAATAGCTGCAAGCAAAGAGTAATGTTTAATGGATCCATGTCAGAATGACAGGAGGTTTCAACTGAAGTCCTGCAGGGGTCTGGCCTGGGCCTAGTGCTGTTCAACATAAATATTAATTATTAGGATGCTGGCATAGAAAGCTTCTTGAGTAGATGACACAAAATTGGGAAGGATTTTGAAGAAGGAGTTTGGGAGTGAAAGAACTCAACAGATTGGAAAGCTGGACTGAAGTTAACAAGATGAAATTCAGTGTGGACAAATGCAAGGTACTACACCTTGGAAAGAAGAATAAAAAACACAAATACAAAATGGGTGCTATCTGGTTGGATGTCAGCACTATGGAAAAGGATCTGAGAGTTTTGGTAGGTCACACACTCAATATGCAGTGTGATGCATCTGCACAAAAGGCAAATGCAGTTTTTCAATGCATCAATAGGAGCTTCAGGTGCAAAATGAGGGATGTGATAGTGTCTCTCTACTCATCTAGAGTACTGTGTGCAGTTTTGGGCTCCACATTTTAAAAGGACATAGAGAAATTTTGAGAGGGTCCAGAGGCAGGTGACAAAGACAATAGACTTCGCAAGCAGGTCAAATGAGGAAAGGCTGAAGGAGCTAGGCATGTTCAGCTTGAGAAAATAGTTCTTAAGCGGAGACGATAGCAGTTGCCAAAAACTTGAAGGGATTCCATAAAGGAGAAAAACACCTTTTCTCTCTTGCTTCAGAGAGTAGGACAAAGACTTGAATTTGTAACAGAGTAGGTTTAGATTGTATACGAGGAAAAACTTTACTATTAGAACAGTGAGGCTGTGGAATAGTCTGTCTGAAGAGATTGTGGACTCTCCATCACTGTAAGTGTTCAAAAAGAGGCTGGACAGACACTGGTCAGGGATGATATAGGCATAGCTATGCCTATGTTCTGCTATGGGTTTTTCCATGCTTCTGGGCTTTGCTTGTTGCCCCCTCACCCGCTCTGGTACATGTGTCAGGGTATTTTTCAGCTTTTCTCAGAGCTATGGGTATTGGCTGCAGCCAAGGCTGGGAATTTTGACTGGAACATGCCAGTGCCTCTGCTGGAAGATCCAGCCCTAGGTGCCTGGATAGAGGGTCTTCCCTCTCTGCTCAGGGCCAGACCAATTGCCATACTTGGGGTCAAGGAGAAATTTCGCCCCGTGGTCAAACTGGTATGTACTGGGGATTTTTACCTTCCTCTGTATCAAGGTGTGTGGCCCTCTACCTGGGATCTCTTCAGGATATAATAACAAGCTTTTTATAAAACCAGAGCATTGTTTGTAATGGTTCCCCTGTTTTACCTGTGTCAGGTTAGGGTGTTATGTTTTCTGTTTTATCAGGGTTGACGCTAATTTTACGAAGAGTTTATAGATGTATAGGATGCTTTCAGTAGGGATGATCCTACCTCCAGCAGGGGGCTGGAATAGATGACCTCTGGGGGGTCTCTTTCTGCCCAACTTCACTATGATTCTGAGATTTGTCCCATATTCAGTGGTCTCCACGTCATTCTTCATTTCTTCTTTCCCAGTTAGTCTCTTAAAATAGGACTGAAGTGTGAAGGCCTCTACATAGGGCAGTATTTCCCTTAAATAAGAATTGGAATAGGTACTAGTTTAAAGTTCTTCTCAGGTTCCTTTAGCTATCCTTCATTGAGGAACCTTAATACTTAGGACCCATCACACCATCACAAACAGAAAGACTTCATATAGTTTTCTAGCCCAACCCTTGAATATTTTACATTATTGTCTATTGGGTTTTTTAAAAACTGATAGTCTTTTCCCTCATGTTTAATTATAAGCATTTCCTAATCTCCTTCAGACCTTTACTTTCATATATGGTATATCCTTAATTACACAGCTACAACATTTGAGTTTGATCATTTTTCCTGTGGTATTTTTTTATTACACTGTATTTTGCACCATCCTATTATGAAGCCACTGTTACATTCTTGCTTTCTCATTTTAGAGCCATGTATTATCAGCGTGGAAGAAATGCAAAATCATGGAATTGAGCTGAATGAGCGATCAAAGGGAAAACGATATGTTAAACATGATGACTTTATTGAGTTTAAGTGCCAGTCAGGATACACACTTCAGGATGGGTTATCCCTTCCAGATTTTACTGTGCAGTGCAATTCAGGCAACATCGTGTATCCTCAGTGTGATAAAGGTAGCTGTTCCTTTCTTGAAGTATTGTTCCTTGGAGACATTTTGAACTGGTAGGAATGGGCAAACTTCAAACAGTAGATATGTCCTCATAGGCCTGAAATTTATTGTAATTACAAAAATATAAATATCAAAAGGTTATAGTGGATACCTAAAGTAAATTGCCTTAAGATAATATTATTCATTCACAGAATACAGTGATATAATAGATTGGATTAGCTAGTAGCATTGATACCTAAATTGGTTTATTTGTCAACCTGGAAAAACAGCACTTCATATTTGAAGAAAATTAAACTTTAAATGGAGCAATTCAGTCGGACAGCTTTGTGGATTTATAAGCTCTGCTTGTACACACAAGGCTCCAACATGTGGATTTGTGAACCTTGCTGAGCAGAGACACTACTTAATTATTTATGGTAACTACAGACTTGATAAGTGGGTAAATGGTACCAGAAAGTAAAATGTCTTTTGATTTTTCCACAAGTTCTTTCACAAAACCTTGGCAGTATTTTCAGGGTAGCTGAAGAGATCAAAAGGCATGAAGGCACCTTTCTATCTTCCCATGCTATGAGTCCTAAATGGAAAGATGGGGGAGGGGAAATAAATACTCCTGGTATAAATTAAAGTAATTTAAAGGGTTCTCCATACTATGCTAACAGAAGAAGTGTCAGAGGGTACCCACCACCCACTGAGAATCAGGTACAGCTGCATACAGCCATTCTTCTTTAACTCTGGGATTGTCCATCAAAAGTTCCTATGTCACACTTGGGGTGCTCCTATGATCCTTTAAAGACTAGTCTGCAAAGCTGCAGTAATTCAAAATGACTGTCCTAGGGGTAAAGAATGTGGCCTCTCGCATGAGGACTAGATATTAGAGTGACAAGAAGTTAAGTGGCCTCAGGATATGCTCCTTCACATGGCAAGGCCCAAATATGAGGCTCACTATGCAAGGAAAACCCCAAATGAAAGACAGGTCTGGTCAAGTTGGATTGTCCCTTAGTTTGGTCCACATTACATTTTTTAATTTTAGCAGGTTTTAGTGCTAGGTGAGTAACAATTTGGAGAGCTGCTCATGCCCACTGGTGCTCTCAAAAACAAGACAGAGATGTCAGTCCCCACAGAATGAATAATCTGCATCAGTCTTCAGAGATGTTTTTTCAAGTCTTATCCCCAGAAACAGTAAGGATTGTGGTTTACAAAATCACTCAGTGTTGGCCTAATTCTGTTCCCGTTGTAGACCATGACAAAACTCTATTAAATTCAATGCGGACAGAGATAGGCCACCACTTAGTATTTTTGTTTCCCTTTGGCCTTATCGTGACAACAATCAGATTGCTCTAGATTTTGCAGGCAAGGGTTCAGCTGTTTCATCAACAGTACATGACAATATTCTAATTGTGGTACATAAACAAGACTGAGGCTTCCTAAAGAATGGACCCCAAATAAGACTTCCAATGTAGAATAATTCCCATACTGATGCTTACTACCTCTCATTCCAGTTGGAAAGTTATCTGTCTGGAACTAGGAAGTAGGAAAGACCTGAAAGAAAACAAAAATACAAGACATGATTAAATGTTAAAGAGAAAATTTGATCTTGTACTCTAGTTAAACCTCAATTTTTTTAAATGTTGTCAGAGCAGGAAATGATGTTACCAGCACATGCACTGTAAGAAACTAATATCGTAATATAGTGATTTTTTTTTTCTGTGTCCTGTGTTTATTTTAGATACATTCAGCTGTGGTCCTCCACCTTCTGTTCAAAATGGAGACCTCATTTCTGACCGACTAATAGCGTATTCATCAGGCTCTTCAGTAGAATACAAATGCAGAATGTTTTATACAATGACTGGATCCAGAACAGTGACGTGTAACCTGGGAAGGTGGACAGCCCCACCTCTATGTTTAGGTCAGTGGTTCACAACCTTTTTAAGACTCAAGGCACCCTTTATTAGATGCAAAGCACCCTTTTATAAACTCCCGCTCTTAGCTTTCACTCATTTTTTGACTAGGGAAAAATAATAGAGAAATTCTTCTGTTCCAAGGACTTCAGAAAGACTATAACAAGTCAGAATGTTTCTGACACTATGAATTCCTAATAGAAATCTCAGTGTTTGTCTTCTGAATCAAGTGTATGTGTTTGCATAGTGCTAATATTACATGATACCCCATGGTACCCTTAAAAACATCTTACAGCACCTCAGGGCACCTTGGTTGAGAGTGACTGATTTGGGTAAAACAAAATGATCTTTAGGTGCAAATAAACATCACATTTTTGCCACCATAACAATTTTTAGGCTGGCAAAAAGGGAAGGCCAACAGATGTCTTTCCCATTTGCTGCACCACAAATGCCCAAGTATGTGGCAAAAGGTGGTAATAGTTTCTGCCACTTTTTTGTGGCAGATGTCTGTTGGCTCTCTTAAAGAGTGGTATATTACTGAAGGAAACTGATAAACAGTTAACATATTTCAACCCTGATGCAATGACATTTAATTGGTAGGAAATGTGAATAAAAATTGCCTTATTTATGAGATTTGCTGAAAACATTGAAGTCTGTCTTTCCGTTATAATAAGGTTAGGGGTAAGAAGTCTTTTGGTGCCCGCTGTAGCACATTTATATCATATAGTTATCTCCAAACACTAGTACTATGTCAGTAATGGTGTACTTTTTGGTGTGGACTGAACTTTGACTTTCTCATTGCCAAGTGTTGAAATTCTACAGAGAACTGATGCTACTTCACTGTGCTGGAAAATGAGCATGAAGGTTTAATGGAAACAAAGTACTCCAAATTTGCTTCTGAATTTCTGCAACAAAATAGTAACACTTTTACTCATGAGTGTTTAAGAAATGAGCCCCCTATTATAGATGTTAGATATGTAATACACCTGCTGAGTAACGTTAAGTTGTAGCAGAATGGGGCTTCTGACAAGAGAAAATCATAGTCTAAGAGGAACTTCAGCATGTAACTGGTAACTGGTAACCTGGTAACTGCACGGCAGCCTAAAGGAGGATTCTCAAATTTGTATGGGGGACTCTAAGGTATTTTCAACCCTTAATAATCAATAAAACTTATTTAGATTTTGCTTAATATTTGTTTCATTTTCAGTTTTAGCTTCTGTATGTATTCTCATTATATCACTGTTAATGTTTGTTTTCTATCAGAAAAAGCATGTCGGCAGCCACAACCCATAGAAAATGGAGAGATTCTCAGCGTAGAAAATCAGACTCTACGAAGGGAGCTGTTGGGAGCGGTGATTTACATGAATGGTGCTAAATTAAAGTTCACTTGTCATGCTGGCTTTTTGTTACGTGGAACATCAGAGATAACTTGTAATAAGGGAATATGGACCTCTGCTCCAACATGCATTGGTAATTTGACAGCATAAAATGTTTAACAATAGTTAATTAGGAGAGAAGTCAGCAATTAAAAACCAGAGGCTAAATTACAAAAATGCTAAATCTTTGTTTCCTGAGGGTCTTTAGAAAAAAGTGGATTGGGCAAAGTCTTCAGCTTTTTTAAAAGCAGGTTTGGGTTTCAAAATAAGTTTTCCAATTGACACTCGGAGGATCTGGATTTTATTTTCTCACTCTGCCATAAGCATATTGGGTGACCTTGAGCAAGAATCTTAAATCTGGGCCTTAATATCTCCTCTGTAAATCAGGACAAGAGTGTTGCCTCACTTTCAAGAAGTGGTGTGAGGATAAATCCATTACTGATTATGGTCTACATTCCTATGATGGCAGTGGTACCTGTACCTGCGTACATAGAGGAAAAGATGTCTTCACCACAATTATGGGCTTATTAGAAAGTAGGGATCTCATGAGAAGGGATCCTGGTTTTCTTTGATAACAAAAATCCCCAATTTGCCAGTTTAAAAAATTAACCCAAAGTCCACTTTTTTCCGTGATTAGACTGAAACACTTCTCTCTCTCTTTCTGTCTCTCTCTTGTGGTGTTTCATTTTAATCATGGGAAAATGTGGATTTTGAGTCACTATTTTTTAATTTGAGAAATTGGGGATCTTTTTTTATCAGAGAAAACCAGGATTCCTGCTCATGAGGTCATCTTAATATATATCAAATGAGTTATGACATGGTTTGCTGTTGTGCTTTCGAGTAATGCAATTTCAGGATAGTGAGAATAATAATTCAGCGCTATCTTAATACATGTATTAAGATGACCTGATCAGGTCCCTACTTTCTTGTAAGCCTATATCAGTAAAGCCACCTTTCCTCTAGGTACATATGTATATATTTCTATATATTAAAGCTCCATTATATATAATCAGGTCATCTATATCAAAACTCCATGTGGAGAGGCTGGAAACTGAATGCATAACCATATATATGGAAAGCCTTCCCTAGACTACAGAGTTGCATTTCTCCCAACATCAGTGGAAATGAACATGTCTACATGGATATATAAAGAAATTACTTTTAGATTGACCTAACTTTTGTTTGGTCAGGATGTCATTCTCCCGCTGTAGTTGGCCTTGGTGAGGCTGCAGCTGGAGTACTGCATCCAATTCTGGGCTCCACAATTCAAGAAAGATGTTGAGAAGCTTTAGAGAGTCCAGAGGAGAGCCACGCGTTTGATCAGAGGGCAAGAGAATAGGCCTTATGAAGAGAGGCTGAGAGCTATGGAGCTCTTCAGCCTGGAAAAGTGCAGGCTCAGGGGTGACCTGGTGGCTGCCTATAAGTGCATAAGGGGTGTGCATCAGCATCTGGGGGAACGTCTGTTCACCAGAGCACCCTGAGGGATAACAAGGACCAGCGGTCATAAACTCCTCCAAGACCGTTTTAGGCTGGACATAAGGAAAAACTTATTTACTATCCGAGCCCCCAAGGCCTGGAATAGACTCCCTCCAGAAGTAGTGCAGACACCTACTCTGGATTCATTCAAGAAATGTTTGGATGCTTATCTTGCTGGGATCCTTTGACCCTATCTGACTTCCTGCCCCTGGGGCAGGGGGCTGGACTTGATCTTCAAGGTCCTTTCCAGCCCTAATGTCTATAAAATCTATGAAATACCTAATCATACAGGTGTTCAGGAAGGTTAAATCAAACAAAAAATGGCGGGCCCGATCTAAGTTAGTTCACTTGAGGAGGTGAATGAATTTATTTCAGTTACAGGTTAACCCAATCTATCAAATACCGGTATGCATTAAGAGTACAGCTGAGAAGCTGGGAAATCCTAGCTGCTTAGCCCAACCCAAGGGCTGTGCTTTTCCTATCCTCCTGATTCTGACTGGGCTGTTCTTAGCTCCTCCAACTTTCTCACCTCCAGGAGGTCAATCCTTCTAAGGACGCTACATCACCCCTCCTAATCCTGCTTTCCCTCAGCACACCTTCTAGACCCTGCAATCCCACCTTCCTCTTCCCCTACCCTAAATTACTTACTCCACTCCCATGACTGACAAATACCTGTGCACGCTGCCTCTGGTCTATATTCATGAGGCTTAAATTGAGCCTTGTGAAGGTAGATTGAGCATGGAAAATGAACGTAAACACCCCATAAGAGGTAGAGAAGCAACTAAAATGCAGGCCTAAAAGAGAGGAAGATGCTAAATTTCAACAACAGCTGAATACCTAGGTCAGGATTTAAGACCATGGCAAATTCATTTTTTCCATAGGTAGACCTTTATTTAAATTAGCTGTAATAGGTATCCGTGTACCATGCTACAAAAGATTTAATTAAACTTTCAGTTATAACAGGGTTGTGCTCATTTTAATCTGGTTTGTGAATCCTTACAGAAATGCCATGCGGAAGTGTTCCCAACATTCTTAATGGTTTCCCAGAAGGCAGACTAAAGGATCATTATAAGCCTGGTGAAACAGTACATTACCAGTGTCAAGAAGGTTTTAATATTACCGGAACACCAAACATTATATGTAAGGCAGGGAATTGGACCAAATCACCTACATGCGAAGGTATAGCGTGCAGTTTATTTCAAGAAATGAACAAATCCTTTTTAATAGCATTATTATTATGGATACAGAAATACCAAGTTGAGGAATTGGAAATATAAAAACAATGGATGACTAATTTAGAACAGATGCTGACAAATTTTGCTTCTGGTTGTTGAGTGGCCACCTGAGGAAGCATTATTTAACTGAAAATGTTTTCTGATGCAGGAACAGGAAGTATCCCACTCAAAGACAGCTAATTGATGGCTAAGCTACCACAGATTAATTTTCATTTTCTACATGGAAAGAGCATACACACAGGCTATTACCATGGAGCAGCTGATACACTTTAAAACAACAACCTTGTTTACCTCACCTACAGAAAGCATGTGTTCAAATTGGAGTGCCCAGCGGAGAGCAACAAAATTGATTAGGGGACTGGGGCACATGACTTACGAGAAGAGACTGAGGGAATTGGGCGTTAGTCTGGAAAAGAGAAGACTGGGTGGGGGGAGGGGAGATTTAATGACCGCCTTCAACCAGGTTTCAAAGAGGATGGAGCTAGACTGTTCTCAGTGGTGCCAGATGACAGAACAAGGAGCAATAGTCTCAAGTTGCACCAAAGGAAGTTTAGGTCAGATACTAGAAAAAACCCCCACGTTCTTAGGAGGAGGGTAGTAAAGCACTGAAACAAGCTATCTAGAGAGGTTGTTGAGTCTCCATCCTTCAAGGTTTTTCAGACCCAGCTAGATAAAGTTTTGACTGGGATGCAGGTAGGGATGGTCCTGCTTTGATCAGGAGGTAGACTAGATTAGCGTTTTTCAACCTTTTGCACCTTATGTCCCACCAACCATTTTGTTAAAAAACCCAGGTCTCACCATGATGAAAACAAAACCCCACTTTTTCCAAGATGTATATTTTTATGTTTATGTGCATTTTAGTATTACATTAATCATTAATGTAAATTTTTAAGGGCATTAAAAGTCCTGCTTACATGACCTTCATGTCCCACTGGTTGAGAAACACTGGACTAGATGACCTCCTGAGGTCTGTTCCAACCCTAATTTTCTGTGATTCTATGATTCTGAGATTCTCCCAGTAACCTTCCAGCAAGCTGATGTTATTCAATTTTGTCCCAAAATTTATGTGAATGCAGACTTGCCATTTAGCACTTCTTGACCTGACCTTCTTGACCTTTAGCACTTCTTGACCATTTAGCACTTCTTGGCCTTACTGACTGAACTGAAATAATTGAGTCATGCTTACTGTTATCTCAGTGCTGACATGCTAGTTGGATAGCAGCTTCCTGTTATAATTTACTAGTGACAGAGTGAACATGAATCTCTTCAGATAGATTTTTCAACTGGAGGGCTAATAGAATACAGTAACTTTCTAGCATACTAACTAATCTTTAATTTCTTTTTGGAGATGCATGTAAAGCATCCCCAGAGATTATGAAGAAAAATAATATACAACTAAGATGGAAGAGTAAAGACAAATTAACGCCTAACTCTGAAGACTTTATTGAATTTTACTGTAAACTTGGATATGTGCGTGATCCAACATCTTCTGAATTTAGAGTGCAGTGTTTAGAAGGGAGACTGCAATATCCCAAATGTATTAGGAGGTCTGGTGAGTATTCCTAGTTTAAATTAAGTAATGATTGATTGCTGCCTATTTGGTTTCTATTTTAACTGAGGACTTTAGTCAAGCATGTAGCAAGCCATGATGAATGGAAAAAATTAGAAATTGCTTAATTCATGGTCCTGAGCATGTACTCTCAATCCAAATCCTCATGCTCTTTTTTACAGGTAAGCAACTGCCTAAGTAAATATTTTATGAATTTTTTCAGCTGAAAAGTACAAACTCTGCTTTAAGATGACTGTTGGTCAATCTGTCAATTGCTAAGGGAAGATCAAGGTGAAAATGTAACTGCATGGGACCTGCAGGGTGATGTATACGGGCTTACAAAGTCAAGTCTAGGAGTGGGCAAACTGTCAAGTTCCGTCTAGAAACAACAAAGTCTAGAAGCTGAAGACCTGAGTACTGTGCACTCAGAGAAACAGGAAAGGTGATAAGAGCAGCTGGCCTTGTAACTGTGAAGCCCACTATAAAGCTCAACATAAAGCCCTGCTGCCTTTAATCATGTCTTCTTATTGCAGTTAAGAAGTGACTTTCAAACACGGAGGCATCAAGTACATGGGGGCCTGAGGGCCCTGGCCCCCCTCGGGAAAAGGGCTGTTAGGGCCCAAACCTAAGGAGTATTAGTTAAAGTACCCCCACCATTTTGAAGCATGAGGAACTGAATACATGAGACACCAAGACTGCTAATTAGCACACTCCAGACTCAATTAATTAAGTCTGCTCCAACACGCTGTAATTACAGCACATTGGAGCAGGCATCCTGCACATGGTTTCCACATGTCCATTATCTTAGGCTCCCCCTGACAAAAATAAAAGTTGGTGCCTACATTTATATAGAATAAGGGCCCTTATGATTCTGTTTTTATTTGATATACCCCTCTGTCTCAGCATCTTCAACAACAAAGTGGAGATGATATTAATGTCTTGCCTTATAGGACTATTGTGAAAATAGTTTCCTTAATCATTATGATTGCCTCATACATCAGTCTGACTTTCCATCACCACAGAGTAAGCACCTAGAAAAATTATTTCCATTTGAACTGGTCATCCTCCTGTATGTCTGAAAATCAACACTGATTCAGGATTCAGAACAGCAAAAATCAAATTCTTATTGAGTTGAAGTTTTTTGTCATCAATTTTTACTGTTTATGTTGACATTTTGAATATGCTGACCTACCTATGTATCTTTTGTGTGGACTGGGTGCTGGTTTGCAACCTTCATTTGAGGCTAGCTTTTATGGATTGTGGAAGGACAGCACCTGTTTTAAATGTGCTTATGTATCTTTTCAGAAATGTCATGTGGAAGGGTACCTGCCATCTCCAATGCCATCATAGAAGGCAGAGAGAAGGAAAGCTATCACCCTGGTGAAACAGTGCTTTATCAATGCCAGTCAAATTTTAGAATTGTTGGGTCACCAACTGTAACATGCAACAGAGGACTGTGGACCAAGCTACCTGAATGCAAAAGTATGAGGTGCCTTGATTTAAGAATATTTAACCAGCATTCATTATGAATATCATGTTATTTGTTGATACTTGAGCAGCAGTTGTTTTGTTTGGTAGCTTGATCAGCAAGTCAAAGAGCCAGAGACCAGAAACTACAGTATAGTTTACTGGAATTAATAGTAGCAGGTGGTTTTCTACTAGGGAGAAGTACTTCAAACTGCCCTAGATAGCACACACATTGGAAGGTCATCCCTCTCTGCCAAGTACCATCTAAATCAGGCAAATGTAACAATTTGCAGAGTTCTAACAGCTTTCTGTACAACATCCAGATACACAGTAAATGCAGGAACTGTTTGTAACCTGATAGAACCTAGTCCTTACACACTGAGTCTATACAAGATCCTGCTTATACAGTAGCTTGATACTAGTGCACAGTAGTGTCACAAGGCAAAAAAAACATGATGTGATGTTATTACACAGAAGTATTAAGCTACTGCGCAGCAGCATCACAAAAAAGGCATTTGCTGTTGCTACTGTGCTGTAACTCGGGTTACTGTACATATATTTAGTACTTGCATTTACTTAGTACAAGTACAGCTACTTAATGGGAAACTAGTGCTTTTTGGTTCCACATTCATCCATCTGAAATAAGTACCATATCTGTGTTGTGGTAACTCCCTGGAACCCCTGTCATAGTACCATTTTTGTTTGAGTTTGTTTTGAATTGTTTAAATGTTTCCACATCTTGCTTTTCATTCTGATGAGCATCATCCACAAGATTTGGTAGCCTGGTTTTGAGTTTTCTGCTAAACAGCATTTCTACTGGGTCACGCCATGTTTCATGGGTGTTGCTCTGTAATTTAAGAGTGACAGGTAAACATCGGTGTGTGTGTGTAGCTTTTTTCCAAAAATTTCTTCACTATGTGTACTCCATTTTCCACGAGACCGTTGGATTGTGGGTGTTTAGGACGTGAAGTGTTGTTACAGAATCCATATTTGTTTGCAAACTCTTTAAACTCAAGACAATTGAATTGAGGTCCATTGTCTGTTCTCACAATTTGTGGAATCCCATGTCTAGCAAAAATCAGTTTGATGTGAGTTATGACATGGTTTGCTATTGTGCTTTCGAGCAGTGCAATTTCAGGATAGTGAGAATAATAATCCAGCACTAATACATATTTTTTCCTGCATGTATGAATAAGTCAATGCCCACTTGATACCACAGAGCTATGGGGCTCATCCATGACCATCAAGGGCTCTTTTCTTTGTGCTGATCTGTACTTTAGGCACATTGTACAAGCCTTTACAGCATCTGTGTCATTATTTATGTTAGACCAATATAGAGCACCCCTTGCTCTCCTTTTGCATTTTTCAATGCCTAGATGCCCCCCCGTCCCCTATCTGCTTGACATGTCTTTCTTTAGCACTGCTGGAACAACAGGTCATGATCCTTTGAACAAAATGCCATCCAGTACTGAAAGCTCTCCCTTAAACTGAGAGTAGGGGCTAGGTATATGTTTTTCAGGCCACCCCTGAAAATAACTGTTATCATTTTTACAATGTCCTGAGAAGTAGTTTCTGCAATTAGTGCCCACATTTTACCTGTGACAGAAATCACTCTTTTAATTAGATTAACATGTAGTATGTCTGAGTCTGGAATCCTGTCATTTTCCATTGTGTCTTATGGTCTGGACAACGTATCTGCATTAAGTAGATTTTTTTCTGGTGTGTACTGTATGTCTAGATCATACCTTGCAGTTGAAAGAAAAGTCTTTGTAATCTGGGTGGCATGTCTGACAACCCTTTCTTTGCTATAGTTACCAAAGGTTTATAATCAGTTTCAGCTATCACAGCCTTCCCATAGATGAATGTATGGACTTGCCTACAGCTATATACCAGGGCTAAACTTTCTTTCTCCTTTTGTGCACATAGACATTCTGACTTAGAGAGTGTCCTAGATACATATGCTGCTGGTCTCCATATGTGGATCCCCATGGTTTTGAAGCAAAGCTGCTCCAATGTTGCCTTTAGAAACATCTGTTGACATCTTTTTAAATTAAGTTTTTAAATTTAAGTTCAGTTTTTAAATTCAGCTTCATGTTCACATGTCTACTAAGCATTCTTTTGTAGGAATGATCTAAGATGTTTGGTCTGCTCTGCTAAGTTAGGTAGATATTTCTCTACAAAATTGATCATCCCCAGTAATCTTTATACTCTTTCCTTATTTGTAGGGGGTGGCATGTTTGTAATGGCTTTAACCCTTGAAGGATCAATTTGCACCCCTTTCTCAAAGAGCCTTTCTCCCAGATGTGTTTATTTTTTTTTTACTCTGAATTTGTATTTTTGTTTGTTCTGTTTCAGACCTGCTCTGCAAGTTCTTTCTAGCACTTTTCTTAGCCTCAGGTCATGTTCTTCCATAGTATTTCCCCAAACTAATGCATCATTAATATGAACCATACTTCCATCAAGACCTTAAATTGTTGCACCTTTCTGTAAAATACTTCATATGCAGAATGGTCCACAAGGAATCCTACAAAAGCAATAGGTTCTTAAGGGCTTATTGAAGGTACATAATCTAGCACTATTCTTTTCTCAGGCAACTTGTCAAAACCCAGAAGAGGCATCCAAAATAGAGAAATATTTAGCTTCTAACGTGTTGCCATAAACCTCTTCCCTGATGGGAATGGGAAAATGCTCCCTTTTGAATCTCAAGGATCCATCTTTTCTTTCTATTATGTCTGACCAGTAAATGCACCGAAGGAACTGGTTGCTCTACTTTTTCTATTATGTCCATGTTAACTAATCTGTCTGACTGCATATACATGCCACAAAATTTGCTGTTTACAGCTCTGCAACTGCATTTTCCTTTTTCAGTTTCTCCCTTAATACAAGGGGAACATTTCTTGGAGCATGTATGGTGGGAGTATTTGGTTATCTTAATTCTATATTGTACTCAGTTGACAGTTTCCCTATGCCTTGAAGCACACCTTAAATTTCTTCTTCTATGTTCTTGCTTCCTAGTCTCTCAATGGCATCCATTTTTCTTGATCAAACCTAGAGTTTTACAAGTTTGTAACCCAGTAATTGGCACTAGCTTTCCTAGGACTGTTACAAACTGAATTTTTACTATATTACCTTTGTGTCTAACATGCAGTACACAGACGCCCTTGTTTGCAATCAAGTTTCCATTATACGCTGTAAGCAATGCTCCCTCTAAGGTGAAGCGATCTGTAAGTGCCCCACTTCAGTCCGTGAGCGTGCTGCTTTGGTCCATGAGAATGCTGCTTTGGTCTATTCCTGAATTGGTCCTGCTTCCCCCTTTAATATTTAATATTACACTCTATATACTAAATGCATATATAGTGTGTGTGTGTGTGTGTGTGTATGTGTGTGTGTGTGTGTGTGTGTGTATATGTGTGTGTGTGTGTATGTATATATATGTATATATGTATATATATGTGTGTGTGTGTGTATGTATATGTGTGTGTGTGTATATATGTATGTATATATGTGTGTGTGTGTGTATATATGTATGTATATATGTATGTGTGTGTGTATATATATATATATATGTATGTATGTATATATATATATAGTATACTCTATATACTAAATGCATTTTTTAATATTTGTCTCAGTCTATTTATTATCTTGTTAGATGTTTTTCTTTAAAGGCCCAATTCTGCTTTTAATTTGCATTGTTGTAAATAATAGAAGAAACTAGCTGTAATACCCACATGCTACCTTGTAATCATGTTGATGTGGCCAGGATTAAGACTTAATTAATACTTAAATACGGGCAAGCATTTCAGTTCTCTCTCTTCAGTTACCAAAGAGCTGTGTGTGTACCTCCCTGTCATGTCTCTTGGACCCACATGCAGGCTGCACTCTGCCAGCTCTCGGCCTCTGTGCCTCACTGCACCCACCATGGAGGGAAGGACTGGGGCCCTCCACAGATCAGGGCCTGCTGGCAGTTCACCCTCCAGCTATGGGAGAGACAGGTAGGCTCCACAAGGGGGGAAGAAAAAAAAAGGATCAGGCCCCTTTCTGCCTTTTTTTTTTCTGCCAGAGCTTGCCTGTGTAAGTGGCCACTGGGCCAAGTGGCCCTTAAGCTGTTGGGGGGTGGGGGGCTTCCTTCCCTCTGCAGCAGCAGTGCCCCCTGCTCCTAACTATGCGGGTGCTTCCCCACCTCACAGGTAGCACCCACTGCACTAAACTTTCCCCATACCCACATGCTAGAAACTTATAGGCACTGCTCCCTAGTGGATTCAGGGAAGAGTTCGATCCTGAGGTGCTGCCTGCGAGCTGGGGCAGTACCCACACAGCTACCACCCCACCTGGGCAGCCTTCAGGAGGTGGTGCTGCTACAAAGGGAAGATCTGCCCCCCCCCCCCCCCCACACACACATAGCTCAGGGGCCTCTTGAAGCTTGCACAGGCAGGCTCTGCCAAAAACAAAAAAGTGGCAAGGGGCCTGATTGCTTTTTTTTTTTTCTTGCAGATCCTGCTTGCTTCTTTTGTGCCTCTGGGGTGAGCTGCCAGCCAGTTCTGAGTTGCAAGGGGCCTCAGTCCTTCCCTCCATGGCAGCAGTGCCCCCTTGGTGGCACCCACCCATTTGTAGCTCACCTTGGTGGTCCCAGAGGCCACCGCCACCCTGGAGGGAAAGACTGGGGCCCTTGCAGCTCAGGGGCCACTTGGCCCACTGGCAGCTCACCCCCTGGCTGTGGGAGGCACAAAAAGGATTTGTGACAGACGCCCCTAAATTGAAATGGTGGGTTTTTAATCATTGCAATTAAAAACCCACCATTTCAATTTAGGGGACTAAACTCCTGTCACGTGTACAAGCACCCTTAGCCTACTGATCTGCTGCTTCCTCCTGCAATGCCCGGGCAAATATAACAATTTATACATAACACCCTTAAAGGGAACAAAGGGGGTTCAGTCGGGGGAGTTTTCAGCCCCCCTAGAGGGTGGGGTTAAAGTATTGGAGCCTCAAGAACAAGCTCCCTCTGCTGCCTTTCCCCACTCCCATTCTGAAAACAGCAAGCACTGTAAGAGAGCTGTGGTCATTGCTATGGGAACTTGTCTGCAGTCTCCCAGCCCACAGCTAGATTCCCCTACCCCCTGAAACAAACAGTGAACTTCTGTTTGGTCTGACATAACATTGTAACTAAAAACACTTTGCAGAAAACATTCTGAGTTACAGCTGGGCTGCACTTCTGTCTGCACCCTAAGGGCCTTACCTCTTCTTTTACTTCATTCCGCATATTTGGGTCATAATCTTTATATTATTTAAAGAAATGTAAAGTGTTTTCTGAAATTATGGTGTTTCTTAGAATTATTGAACAACCGGCACATTCATGCACATTTTCTGTTTTCAGGCACAATGTGTGGAGGTCCACCCGTAGTTGCTAATGCCAATGTTGTAGGAAAGAGGAACCAGAGGTATCAGACTGGTGAACGAGTACAGTATGAGTGTCAGGAACATTTTGAAATCATGCCATCAAGTTACATAGTTTGTGCAAATGGAGAATGGTCACAACCTCCAGTTTGTAAAGGTAAGGTTTTGATTAGATGAGGATTAGTTTGTTAAAATTACATTATATTTCTAAAGACAGAGGGCTATCAAGAAGAAATATTACAGCTAATTAGGGCCCTATTTCTGCATTTATCCACTAAAGGTAAAAAAAAAAAAAGCCAATATGTTACAAATATTAAATATTTGTCTATATGTAATATAGAATAGTCTATATTACATATCTATATGTAATATAGAATCATAGAATGCTAGAAAATTAGGGTTGGAAGGGACCTCAGGAGGTCACCTAGTCCAACTCCCTGCTCAAAACAGGACAATTGCCAACTGGGTCATCCCAGCCAAGACTTTGTCTAGCCGGGCCTTAAAAACCTTGAGGGATGGAGATTCCACAGTCTTTCTGGGTAATCTGTTCCAGTGCTTTACTACCCTCCTCATGATTGAGTTTTTTTCCTAATATCTAACCTTAATTTGCTGTGCTGCAACTTGAGACTGTTTCAAATGTCTTCAGGACAGCAAGAGTAAATTCAAATATTCGGAAAGCTCAAATACAAAGATGAAAATGTCTTATAACTAAAATATGTACATAGGAGCACATACACAAGATAAATATAAATGAACTCTAGACCAGATTCTGGCATGTTTACACACGGATAGTACCTTACTCTGAAAAGTCAATGAGCTTTCTCATAGACTCAGGTAATACTAATTGTAAAGTTATTGACTTTATTGCTGGGGTCATTTGACCCCAGCATCCTTTCCTGCCTATGGCAGGGGGTCAGACTAGATGATCTGCTTAGGTCCCTTCTGACCCTAACAACTATGAAACTATGACTTTTGACTCTATGAGATTATAAAGTAGAAGCATACAGCTTGTACTGTATTCAAAGAAGTGTATACCATGCAAGTGGTAATGCTGATAGCTGCTGACAGATATGGGGAGAAACCCCCCCCCACACACACACACACACACACACACTACCAGAAGAGGCAGCACATTTAATTTGACCTGGCTCCACAGCATCGGTATAGATCACATGCTTCATCAGGACTTTATGGTGCCTGAATCTAATAGCTGATACAATCAGCTATTAGATAAAAAAAACAAAAAAGCCCTGCTGAAATTCCCAATCTTACCCAAATTTTGGGTGGCCAGATTAAACTAATGTGATGCCACTTCTGGGCATTCACTGGGCTCAGCATGGAGGTGCGCAAGTTTAAAGAAAAGTTCTGGTTGGGGGTTGATGTCTGTAAGCAGTCTGTGTCCTTTCTCTCACCTCACCAAAAATATAAATGCTGATTACATGAGGACATAGAAGGGAATTTAATAAAGGTTTTTCCTATCAATAGCTAAAACTCTCCATGTTTCTTTTCAGCTACGACATGTGGCCCTGCACCAGTGATTGCAAATGGTGGGATTATGGGTTTTGGAAAGCAAAGATATTTTCCTGGTGAGAGAGTGCGCTATCGATGCCATGACGGTCTGAGTCTTATCGGGCTACAGATAATAACTTGTAAGGATGGGATATGGTCACAACCACCAGAATGCAAAGGTATTTTGCCTTCATATTTATATATAATCTAATACTTTTTAACAACTTCGTCAATGATGTAGACATTGGTGTCAGAAGCAGGCTGGCCAAGTTCGCTGATGACGCCAAACTCTGGGGTAAAGCATCCACACCTGAGGACAGGAGGGTGATCCAGGCAGATCTTGACAGGCTCATGAAGTGGGCGGATGAGAACCTGATGGTGTCCAACACCAAAAAATGCAAGGTTCCCTGCCTTGGGAGGAAAAACCTGCAGCATGTTTATAGGCTTGGCAGTGCTATGCTGGTTAGCACTACAAATGAAAGGGACTTGGGGTTCATGATTGACCACCACATGAACATGAGCCTTTAATGTGGTGCTGCAGCTAGTAAAGCGAGCAAAATGCTGGCTTGCATCCATAGATGCTTCTCAAGCAAATCCCGGGATGTCATTCTTCCATTGTACTCAGCCTTGGTGAGGCCGCAGCTGGAGTACTGTGTTCAGTTTTGGGCTCCACAATTCAAAAAAGATGTGGAGAAGCTTGAGAGAGTACAGAGGAGAGCCACGCACATGGTCAGAGGTCAGGAAAACAGAACTTATGATGAGAGGCTGAGAGACAATGGGACTCTTCAGCCTGGAAAAGCGCAGGCTCAGGTGTGATCTGGTGGCCACCTATAAGGTTATCAGGGGTGTTCACCAGGATCTGGGGGAACATCTGTTCACCACAGTGCCCCAAGGGATGACAAGATCAAACAGTTAAAAACTCCACCATGACCAATTAAAGCTGGACATAAGGAAGAACTTCTTTACTGTCCGAGCCCCCAAGGTTTGGAATAGACTGCCGCTGGAGGTGGTTCAAGCACTTACTTTGAACGCCTTCAAGACACATTTGGATGTTTATCTTGCTGGGATCCTATGATCCCTGCTGACTTCCTGCCCCTGGGGCAGGGGGCTGGACTCGATGATCCTCCGGGGTCCCTTCCAGCCCGAATGTCTATGAAATAATAGTGAAGATATAGGCCATGTACAGGAGTTACATTTCTATCAGAAGAGGCACTGCTCTCCTGGAAAAAAATTCCTGTGTACAAGTGTCCATTCAGTTTTTCATGGAGGAAACTTGCCCATCCATAACAAAGAACTCCCAAGCTGAGACCTTGCAAGAGCATTTATCTCACTAGAATGAACACCTACATGATTCTGCTTGATTCAGCCTTAATTGGGAGGAGTCAAGCAGAAATTTCTTCTGTGCCTTCACCAGGCAGAAAGTACTTTGGTCTCAGGAATAGAGGAGCTGTTTCCTCTCAGCTTAACCCGTGCAGATCAAGGGAGGACTTGAGCTTCTGCTGCCCTCTTCAAACCTTCCTGAGACTAGTCTGGGAAAGCTGCAGGGATATTTTCCCACAGCTGGACTCCTCCTCCTTATAGGAAGTGGTACACCTCAAATTTGGTACAGATTGTGCTTGGTGGCTTTCATAGGGGGCCATTTGGAAATGGGATTCTTCCCTTCCTGCATACAGGAGATTTGCAGAAGGAGCTTGCCTTTTATGAGCTTGAGAGATATAGCAGCAATGTAATAGTTCTTGATCTCTTTTGTTTGGCTATCTTTTATCTCCTGTGTTTCTAAAAAGAACATTTTGGAGATTTGTGAGAACAGTGATGGGGAAGCCAAAGAACATCTTTATCTAAGATTATAACAGCCGGTGACTTTTTTAAAATCTTGATTATATAAACAGTAGAAACAAATAGTGAAAACAAAAAGCTATGTGGCTTTCCCAGGAGCTGAACATGAAACACTTGTCACTGACAAAAAACACTGTGTCACCTGAGACTGAAATCTCTTTTCCATTGGGTTACATATGTAGGACTAGCTATCTATCTTCCACCTTGAGGAGGGCATGCTTGATGGCCCAGTGTAAGACAAACCTGTTCCACATTTTGTCACAAGGTCAAGTGTCCAAATTCAATGTGTCGCATGCCTGGACCAGGAAGTGGAAGAGTTGGAGGGTGTCAGAGGACTTGGCCCTGTGAGCCAATTTCTGTCAGTTTACTGAGTCACAGAGAGTGACTTAACTAGTTAAGGTTGAGAACCTCTTTCTGTTTAAAGGCTGAATCTTCCAAGTGATCTATAATTAACTCATTTACTGTTACATTGATCCATTTGTTTGGTCTCATGGCGGTGTAGGGTAGAACTAGTGATCCAGATGTGGGGTCAGTTGTGCAAAGCATTCTTGATATTGACAAATTCTTCTTCAAACTTTTTCTTGTGGAGATCTAAGTATTAACTCATGGGACTGATGGTACTTAAACCACTCTTTGGAAGGCATGCCAACAGTTAGCCATATACCCTCACCATGTCCTCGTCTGATCCTTATCAGCTGCTCTGCTTTCTGATCCCTGCTCTGTGTGTCTCCTCCCTGGTGTGCCACATGCCACACACAGACAGGGATAGGGTACCACATATGCCTCATATTCTCCCTCCTGCCCCTCTGGGAAGCCCTGTTCCCATTTCTCTGCTCTTTTTTCAGGATATGGGGGTATTCTAAAGGTTAATACAACTTTAAATCTCTAAAAAACATTAACATTTGAAATTTAAAGATATGGTTTATGTCACCCTTACATTGGATGGAGGGGCTAGCTACAGCGGGCTGGTTATAGTCACAGAGCTGGAGGGCCTGGCTGAAATAAGGATAAGGAATATGGCTGGGGAAGTCAACGAGAAAGTAGCTCAGGGCCTAATTTAGAATGTAGTTTGGGCTACACAAGGAAGTGCACAGCAGCAAAGAACATCAGGCAATAAGCAGCAATTTTTTTACCTGCCTATACAGGGCATATGGCTGAAGCACAGAAAGGAAGGGTGAGATGAAAATGTTGGAGTAGTTTCCCGTTATAGGATCATAGGAAAGTAGGGCTGGAAGGGATCTCACAAGGTCATCTAGTCCAACCCTCTGCTCAAGGCAGAATCATCCCTGACTAAACCACCCCAGACAAGTGTCTGTTTTGAAAGTTTCCAAGGATGGAGATTCCACAGCTTCTCTAACTAGTCTGTTCCAATACTTAACCACCCTCATAGTCAGGAAGTTCCTCCTAAATTTCCCCTGCTGCAGCTTGTGCCTGTTGCTCCTTGTCCTTTCTCCTGCAGCCACAGAAAAAAAAATCCCATCTTCATCCTGTCTGTAATCACCATCCAAGTATTTGAAGACTGTTTTCAAATCCCCCCCTCAGTCTTCTGTTCTTCAGACTGAACAACACTACTTCTTTCAGCCTTTCCTCAGTCTTTTCTCCCAGGCCTTGACTATTTTTTTTTGCTCTTTGTTGGACTCTTTCTAAACTGCCCATGTCCTTCTTGAAGTATGGGGCCCATGAGGCTGCCTCAGTGCTGAACAGAGCAGAAGAATCAGTTCCCTTGATGTATTTATGTTTTAGGGCAAGGCTTTCCAACTTCTAAGCGGTTGTAGGCTCCATACCACGTGGGCTATATCAGCTGTATCAGCATGGGCCACAGGCCACATATGTCATGTGCATGCCCCACACTGCACTCTGCTGTATGGGAACTCCAGTCCCCCAAGCTCATGGGCCATGGGCTCCTTTACTGCATCACACCATGGGAAGGGACAAGAAGTCAGAAGGGAGGGGGAGCCCAGAAACCCATGCTGCTCCTGCAACCAGAGTAACGAGGGTAGCAGTGGCTGTGCAGGAGCCTGGGGACCACAAACTAACTCCTTATGGGCCCTATGCAGCCAGTGGGCCACCAGCTGGACAGCCCTGTTTTAGGGAATAGTGAGCTAGAGACTGCAAAAGGAGAAACAACACCAGTCTCTCTCATATGGTTAAAGTTGCTGTATCCAACATGGAATGAAATGGTTAAGATTTTGGGCTATACACTGTGTCTTACGTCCCTTACCACCTAGCTCAGCCACGGTGCAGTTCACACATTTAAAAATATTACTATTACCCTCATAACTAAGTGGACAAAAGAGTGGAGGACCAGCTGGCCATCACATATGAACTATGTAGCCTAGTGGAGAGAGAACTAGTATAGGAGAACTGTATTCTATGCCTGGCTCTGTTGCTAGCTTGCAGGGTCACCTTAGGTAAGTTAAGTCCCCAAACTCCTCCGACTGTGAAGAGGGTAAATGATGTACAGTGCTATAGACAAGCTGAATATTATTACGTAGCAAAGTGAGCATCTCTTCTACAAACCACCTGGAACTCAACTCAAACTCATTTGGCCCCACAGTCCAGATCTAGAACACAATAAAAGATATCACATTTATCCAAAGAACCTGGCAATTCATATAACAAGCATTTATCATCCTTGCAAGAACTCTGAATATATTTACTAAGAAACCTTTATTACTACAGTTAGGATGGCCTTTTGTTTTCTTGTGACCTTCCAGGATATTAAGTTCAGTGAAGTTCACACTTCTGAAATCCAGAAACAAATATGTAAGGTACATGCCAGTGCAACTTGAGTTCCATTTTCTATGAGCAGTGATCCAACACATACATGAACACGGTTCTTGCCAAGACAACATTTGTTCCAAATTTACCCATCCCTAAACTCACAGAGCAGTCAAACCATTTCACGGCTGACAATCCCTTGGCAAGAAGTCCCCCATGCCTGCTATTGACATAACCTACAAAAAGTCAGCATTGAAACAAAGTATATGGGATCTTTCTAAGCATATTTTCACTTCTTTAAACACACAGATGGGAAGGCTCTAGTCAAAGCACTACCAAGTCACCACAGCTAATTCCTCCCATTCTTCCTCCCCAGTTCTGTACAGCTCCATAGTAAGTGCAAGTGGGATGTTTGTAGGTAATTCCAAGTCTTTACGCAGCGCCAGGGAGATGAGTTAAATTTGCATTAGTTTGTATCTTGACTCCTCATGTCTCTCATGTTCTGCCCTCCTACCAGGGAATTAGGGCTCACTGGAAGGGTCTGTTAGAAGAGCCTAAGCAATCACTGGGTTACTTTAACAACATAATAACAAAACAGTTTATTATGATCAGTGAAAAGCTAACTTGATTAAAAACGGCAAAATTGCAGGTACTGTGAAAAGCCAGATCATTTGGTCTGGTTTCACAGAGCAGAGTAGATTTACAGCACTCTGCTGTAACATCAGTGAGTTAAAAGTATTTGAGTAATTATTATATTACCACAATTTATTTTTATTAGGGGATGGGCATGGAGTTGGACACTATTGGGTGTTGTCTGAAGACAGATCAAAATGATATCTGATCTGATATCTGAGCATTTAAGTTGTTGTTAAATACCTCTTCCTGGATCTATTTCCTTTCCAATACTTCCTTTCAGAGGCTTCTGGAAAATGTGGAACTCCCCCTCCTATTGATAATGGAGATATCACTTCTTTTCTGTTGAAAGAATATGAATCAGATTCTCAAGTAGAATATAAATGTCAACATTTCTACGTAATGGAGGGAAATAACATTCTTACATGCGTCTTAGGCCAGTGGACAGACCCACCAATTTGTTTAGGTAACTATGAATGTTTTTCTCATGACAGGAGATTCAGATGTGTTATATCACTTCTGTAGGAGTTTTGGTTGTGCTAGGCTGTAGTTATGCTAAGCTATATTAAGCTATGATGTTGAAAAGCAGTCTGGGAGAAAGGGGGGCTCATGACTACTGGACATTGGCAATGCATAGGAGGTACACACGGGTGCATGTGCTGATTGGCTGCTGCCACTGCTGCCTGCGACATCTGCAGGCAGTCACCACCCACCACCCTGCCTTGCCAGCAACACCACCAGTGGCATCTAGGAGTGGGCACTGATCACTGGTTGGCACTAGCCACCTCCCCGCCCACCGCTGTAGCTGCCTGCAGCCAGTCCCTGCTTACCTGCACTGCCGCCGCCACCTGCAGGTAGTCGCTGTGCCCCTTGGGAGGCATGAGGCATTCATGTTGCTGGATGACCCAGTAAGAAAGTAAAAATAAATAAAAATACACTAATAAGTATAAAGCCACTGAAGGGGGTATGGAAACAGCAGCTAAACATTTGAGGACAAATATAAAAAGTAAAAGAGCTTGCTAATGAAACAAAATAACAAGAACCAAAATGCAGGTGCATAACTTTGGCAAACAAAACAAGTAGAGATGACCATCTTGACAGAGAGAGAGATAAGAACTGGTATGAGACAGGGGGTATGCAAATATAAATACAGGGGTTGGGAGACCTCAGGGACCATGAATAACTGACCGTATCTCTACCTGTCAAGGACAAGATTCACTAAGTTGGGCTGACTGTTATTTAGACCAACTGGTATACTGTCCAGTGACAATAAAACTTTCTAAGCTTTCACCACTGAACACTTACCTGAGTTGTGTTTTCTATATCACCTTTGGCATCCAGAAGACAGCTTGCTAACGTCAGCCTTCTAAAACACACAAACTCCATCAGCCTGTATATTAAAAGCAACAGCAACTAGATACCACCCAAGAAAACACACATCAACTAAAAAAAAAATTCTTTAACCTTTCTGAATTAAAAAAGTAAATAAATAAATTGGTAGGGTATGAAGGTACAGAGAGGGCTTAGTGAAGAAAAAATTACTATCCCAACCATCTAAAACCTCCTAATAATGAAACTGAATAAGTATACTCAAAATACCCTGCCTTTCTTAATTAATACCTTATTGGCTAAGGTTTGTTTAGTTTATTAAAAATGTGGTCAAATGTAACTAGACATTTTGTCACTAGACATTTCTATAAGAACAAAGGAAAATTTTGTATGCAACTATGTAAAACATCGGGTGACAGGGTTTCTATGAATTATGTGGTCAGAATTTTGTTTCACAATGACAGACCTACATATAAAAAAAATGAATTACATTTCCTTTTTCCAGAGCCCTGTACAGTATCTGAAGAAGAGATGGAGAAAAATAATATTGTGCTGAGTGGGGAAAAGAAATTGTATTCTTTAGCTGGAGAAGCTATTGAATTTGAATGTAAAACTGGATACAAGAGGGATCCAACATCTCCTGCACTTAGAGCACAGTGTTTCGAGGGGAAATTGCAATATCCTAGATGTAAAATGGGTAAGTGATAGCCAATTTAGCCACAATATTGTTAAGACATGCACTCAAATCAGTTTATTTGGTGTTTCCACTAAAGAAGTCCAGACTATAGAGACATTAAGTGTATGATGCAATGACTGTACAAAACAAATGCAATATCTGCTGAAATCCAGAGTGAGAGATCTTCTGCATGGCAATCCAGAATATCTCAAGATAAATTATACTTTGTGTCAAAAAGCAGATAGGGAAAATTATATGGGAAACAGACTGAAAAGGGTATGAATTTCTGTTCTAGAAGGTCACCTTAGACCATCCCCTGCCAATGTTAACAGTACAGCATAAATCCTGGTAAAATTTAGTAATATGAATTAAATCAGAGTGGGTTTTTTTGTCCAGATAAAAAGTTTTTTAAAAAGGTAAAATTGATTGAATTGCTTTCAGGGGCTAAGTTTGTACTATTACTTTTTCTGGATTGTGTTGCCATCTGCTTTTCAATTAAAAGTTCAATAGAACCCAACTCAAGGACCAGATCTTTGGCCCTAGCTATTGTCCCTTTATACCACTCTAATGATCAAAGGGATAAAGATTCCCTCCTGGCCTATCCTGTGCTTGTCCACAAGGTTACCTGGGGGTGAGGGTAGTGATTCTCCACTGATTCTCAGGGCCCTGTTGTATTTGAACTAGGCACAAGTTACAGTGGCCTGTGATATCAGTAATTTATGCAGGAGTTATTTGATTCCTTAAATTATCCCAAGGTGTGAAGGAGGTGCAAGGGAACTTTAAGGCTTTTCTCTCCTGTATATCTGGGGATGATGCCCCAAGTGTATATTTTCAAACAGAAAAGCAAATTCTCTTTCTGTTACAGAGCCATCATTTGCTGTGCGTTCTGTGTAACAGCTTCACAAGTGTTAGAGGAGTAACTGATTTTTTTTTTCTCTCCCTTTATTCAACAGGCTCTTGAACAGAATAAAAGACCCATCTCAAAACTATTTTAACCAGTATCTGATAAGCAAACCATTAATCAATTATTTGTAGCATTCATAGAGTCATAAAGAAATAGGACTGGAAGGGACCTCAAGAGGTCATGTAGTCCAGTCCCATGCCTGAGGCAGGATCATCCCTATCCAAACCATCCCATACAACCATAATCTAACTCTACGTAAAACTATCTTCAACCCTGACACAACACAGACCTAACACCCTAACCTGCCACAGGTAAAGCATGGGAACCACAGCAGCCAATGTCCTGCTTGTATGAAATGTTGTCAATATACACGCTCAAGAAACCCCACGCTGTTTCCCTTTTTATCGGGATTTTTACTTTGGTTACAATAGATGTTTCTTGGTTTACACAACTGTTTATTCCTCACTTTGTTTTCTTATACAATTTTAAAGCAATTTTTAAGCAAAGTCAATTAGAACAAATTCAGTTTAGAAGCAAAGTCAATTAGAACAAAACCTGAATTGGACATATGGAGTCAGTCTTCAGATGGGGTAATTTAATTAAATTAAGTTTAAGCCACAACAGTTCACACTGCCCAAGGATCTAACCTTTTTGTGACATTTACTTTCTTATTTCCAAAGTAATGTTTCATGAGTCTTGACAAATCACTACCTAGATGCCTGTAGAAAGCAAACCTACAAGGAGCAGTCATTCTCTTCAGGGCTGGAATTACCTTTATATCATAAGCAAGTCCCAGATAAGACATCAAATACAGAACCTGGGGCTAAAAGAGAACATAATAGTTCCACAGCAGGCCTGCCTACCTTCAAAAAGCCCCTAGTATCTACCAGTATTAGATTAAAATGTGGCCAAGCCAGGCCTTCTATCAGAGAACTGGCCTAAAGGTGTAGTTACACCTCAAAATTAGCATGTGCTAACTTTAAAGACTGTTAGCTGGTGTTAACGTTAGCACATGCTGTGAGCATTGTCACATTCAGAGTTACTACCATCTGTGACTTGCATTGCTCTGTTCTGTGATTAGAGGGCTGGTTTGAAGCGGGGTGGCAAGGAGTCAAGTTGACTCTCTGCCTGCTTTCTATAGCAGTGTAAGTCTTATGAACATGCCCTTGGCCCAGTTCTGAACCCCAGCCAGGAAGCCCACATTGGGCCTGCCAGCCCCTTCCCAGTCAAACTGGGTCGTTGCTGGTCAGGATCAGGTACATGTCATGCCTCCCCCACCACTATCCCAAATCATTCCTGCCTCCCATAACCGCTGCCCCAAATTGGGCCTGCCAACCCTAGATTGGCCCCCTACCCCTAATAGCTCTCAACTTTGGCTGATGGCACTGTCCCAGGGAAGCATGCTACTGCTGCTGTTTGGACTGGCATCAGCCCAGAGAGAGATGGCAGTGGCATCAACAGGTAGGTGGCCAGGCAGGTTCCCATTCCCTGAGACATAGGAACAGGAGAAAGCTGAGAGTGATGTGGGCAGAGAGGAACCCCAAGGATGGGTGGAGGGTAACTTGTGGGGGGCAGAACAAGAGCCCTGAGGCACAGGGGAGCAGGGGAGATACCCTATGGGCAGGGTTACCTGGGGATGGGAGTGGAGGGGAGGGGAGAAGGATTCTTACTGTTAGAGTGGGTGGGTTCCCCCACTGTTACTCTGGGGGAAGATAAACTTCCACCTGGGAATGGCTGGGAGCTGTGTCTCCTGGATGCCTTTGGCCACAGTTGAGAATAGCCACAACATGGGGTGAGCAGTGGAGGAGGGGCTGCCCTTGACTGTGTGGGGCCCTGGAGAGCCCAGGAGCACATGGGGAACTTCCTGTTGCCCCTGGGCAGCACCCAGAGGTTCATGTTGTATTGGGCTGCCTGTGCAACACCCCACCCCACCCCTGCTGCCTGGCAGCTCCCTTCCTCCCTTCCCTGCTTGGCCCCTATTCTCCCCTTCCTTCTGTAGCCCAGCAGCTGCCTCCCCACTCACCAGCTGCTGCTCCGCTGTCCAGGCTGTCACTGGCGGGGAGGTTGGAAGAGTTTCAGGGTCCAGGAGCACAGCTCATCTGTCTGAGAGCTGTGGCTTTTGTGATACTGGAGGACAGTGAATTAGTTGTTTGATATCCCCTGAACAATTAGAAGTTAGGCAAAGGTGAGATAGTTAGCACAGCTCAAGGAAAATTATCTCTTCAAATGGTGGAACTTTAAGGTACTCAGTGGGAATTAGCACTAGTAATAAGTATGAATCTATGATCCTACAGGTTTTAAGAGACCATAACACAGTTTAATTGTAATTTCTAATGTCACCCTAATAACTGTACTAAACTCCTCCTTTTAAGTTCTACTTCTAATTTCTAAAACAGATCACTTGTGCAGGTGAAGTAGGCTGGGTCAACAGGGACCACACCAGTTTTGTAATCTTTTTTTTTTTTTTGGTCATCCCGTCACATAGAATATTAAGTTCAGGACATTATTTTGAGACTAAAGAAGAAAATGGGGGATGCTCCAGTAGAGGGGAAGCTGGGGGGATGGGAAGAGAGGCAGGAAATGCTTTAGCTATTATAACAAATTAATTTCTCATTTGATGGTATCTCACAAAAACATTATTCTTTCTGGTTGAAAATTAAAACTGTATGATCTAAATTTTTTAAAGGAAAAACTACCTTTATTTCTATTTAGTAAGTGATTTCTTTCTTCTTTTTTAAAGTATGCCTTTGTTTTGTATTTTTATTTCTTTAAAATCTCACCACCTTAAATTAAACTAAAAGGAAAACTATGGGAAGATAAAAAGCTTAAATAAAGATTCACCAAAGTGTGTATATTGTCTGAGCAGCAGCAACCATAAGCATTTGGTATCATATGGATAAATAGCTTACTTCGTCTCCCTATATTCAGTAAGTTCAAAAGCTAATTAGTGGTGTGGTTGATATGAATTTGCCCATATCAGCTGGGCATGAAAGACAAGTGCTAAAAATATAAGTCTGTAAATAACTCTGTCCAGTGAATAGGGCAGATTCCTTATTGGTACTAGATAGCCAAACATGTGATCTGGCCAAAAATACTGACTAAAGTGACAGGCAGCTGTTGTTCAGCAGTGATTCCACGGGTTGTTACCATACCAGCATGGACAATTATTCATCCTGTTTTATTAATCCCATCAAGGTTACAATAATTAATAGTGTGGCTGTTGTTACACTATGTAAAACAAGCATGTAAAATTTTAGACCCTGTCTCTGAAAGTGTAAGCCAAGATCAGAACTTTCCTTCTTGCAATCTGTAGAGTAATTTAATCTTGGGGTCCTGTGTAGAGTACAGAGATAGAGGCAGAGCATATAGTAGAAAGAGAGCCTGTTCCATGCCATGGACTTCTTGTTGGCTGCTGATTACTGGCAGGCACCTTTGTGCAATGACTTCCAGAATTTGGCTGTTAACTGCAACAGCTCTTCCCACTAAAGTGTGAATTCTCTAGTCCTGACCAGTCAGTCACCTACTGCTCTTTGAACCTTAATAGGGAGAAATAATGGAGGGAAATTATTTTGTAGGCAAGGATTCCTTTGTTCATTTAAATAGTTGTCAATTTGTGAAGGGCTGGATTTTGGAAAACAGGTAGCTAATAAAGTCCCATGTGGTACATGACAGATAGTGTATCAGTGAGCCTTTTCATCAATGGAGCTTAATAGTTAAGGCAATCGGGAACGCTTGAATCATTTTAGGTCTCTTCTGCTCAACCCCATGTGAATGTATCTGATATTAACCCAAATTAAAGTCACTGGCTCCCTTTTACCTATTGAATCTGTTACTTACCCATGGATTGGCAACAGCCTCATGGCAAATCCCATCACCTGGCATTTCTTCCATCCATGCTTCCCAGATGAAAAAGGGCACAGAGACAGAAGCCCTCATCTACCCTTATACCCCTGCAGAAGTGAAACCCTTGCTAAGACGGACTACAACATTCTCGTCATTTCCTGGCAGCAGTGAGGAAGGCACAAGGAAGGTAACACTTCCCAATGAGGATATTACAGCACTGGAGGACCCCTGCTACATAGTTTCTTTCTCTTGTAGAATGGTCAACCCACCCAGTCAAGCAGGATGTCTCAACCAGAATGCCACTGGGGTGCCATAAGATCCTTTTAAGGGTGACCTGCAGTGTCATGCAATATAAATACTGTTAGGTTTGCAAACACCTAAATGTGATTCACATGATAAACTCAGAGATTTCAAACAGGAATCTATAGTGGAAAAAAAAGTCTGTCCTGTTGTGGTCTTCTTTTTCAATAGAAAAATTGGAGCTGGATTGCCTCCCATCTCCTAAGAGTTCCTGGATGGGGTCCCCACCATACCTGTCCCCTGGAGCTGGATTGCAGCCACCTGCATCCGGCATGCAGAGAGACAGCCCTCTACACAAAAAAGTTTGAACACCACTGTTCTAGACTATCATATGCTGGTGTTGGCTTTAACTACCCAACTAGGAGAATAAGCCTCTCAAAGCCACCACCCAAGAGCAAGGATCTTCACTCTTCCTTCTACGAATGGATAAAGTCTTCCAGCTATTGACTTCTGGCTAGTCCCAGACACTCCAAACTCCTTCCTAACATACTCCAGCTTTCTGCCAATCATAAATGTTTTTCTTATATCAGCTCATCCTTCCCCACCACATAAGCACCAGCCCTCTGCTGGTCAACATACATTGAAGGTCAGTGGAGTCAGCGGGCCTCACAACTAAGAGGCCCAAGGTAAGTTTTTTTTCAATATCTTCAGGATCCATGCAATTTAGCCTTGGTAAAACATCTTTTCATTCACACCATTCCCTGACTTAAATGCCACATGGCAGAATTCCCTAATTAATCCCTGCGATTTGGAGACCATTCAAACTTCCATGTTCCTATCTAAATCTACCCTATAAAACTCTGGTCCCAGCAGAAGACATGCAAAAAAGAAAGTTGTGAAAGTGGCCTTGAGGGCACCCCAAATGATTCGGACATTCTCCCATTGTTGTTGATTGGAATTCACCAGGTTTTCATTCAGGCACTGGTAGAAGAGGTCTTGCTTGGGTCATTGATTCCTTTAGTGTTAATCTTCTTTCGACATTGCTTCTACTGCAGCTGTCATTTGGGAGCCAGTTTGAGTGAGTGACATAACTGAGCTGATGAGTCAGTGATCAGTCCAGCAATCATC